GCTCTTCTAGAACTTTCCCCAGTTCAGCAAGGTAAACCTAACCAGTGTGCACAAATTCAAACAGAACTATGAAAGTAACAGGGTTGAGTCAAGCATGTATCTTATTTTTCCCAATCCTCTCTTCAAAGTCTCATCTTCAAAAATACTGCAGTGAAGAACTCTGTATAGCCTTAAAGCTTAAGGATATATTATTTAAATAGTATATATAATCTTCTTTTTCTTTCCACCTAATAAAAAAACCTTTCCCTTTATTTTTTCCAGAAGCTTACAGATAATACTATTATTAGTTGACAACTCGTTTTAAAAAACTTTACTCCCAAACACGAGGCATGCCAAGGCTACCCTTTTCTCCAGATTTAAAATACTTAAGTAGTTATCAGAACACAATGCCAAGGCAGCTAACAGAACAACTCCTCAAAGGTTCCTGCATGCTTCCCTTTTCTTTTCAAAATAAAGTTAAGATTAAGTTTACACCCACAATTAGCAAGATTTGTCAGGAGAATGAAAATCTGACTTTGATGTTTGCAGTTTTTTTGAGAAGCTTACTTTCTACAATAACAACAAATTGTGCACTTTTTACCAACTCTGTTTCCAAATTTTCCCAGCAGCAATGCATACCTCACAGAAGCCTGCCCTATTTCATCTGTTGAAAAACTCTTCCAACTCTTTTATCATCAAACTCAAGGCACTGTTCCAGATGCAGAATCCCTGGAAATGTCACATAAGGGCATAAAAGACTGATTCACTGTGACTGACACTTCAAGCTCTGCCTCTTGGGATGCAGAACACCGCTTACTAATTTCCAAAATAATTTTCAATAAAGTTTATGCACTTTCTCAGGTAACTGTTACACAAACCCATTTCTGCAGAGCATATGTGGTGTTTTCTTGGTCTCCTTCGCAGCTCCAATCCCCACACCCCCCTGATCTTCGAGCTGAAAACTACAGGTAAGGAATATAAAAGCGAAATCAGTGACGGGCTAGTCTTCTCACAGTGGTGAAGAACATATGAATATCATTAATTTCAGAGCAGAGAAATTATCTCTACATATATAGTGCAGATATAAACTCGTTTATATATAAACTTCTGTTTATGTGAACAAGTGTCACTAGTTATATAGCGGACAATTATGTCATTTTTTAAGTTTCTTTCTCTCTGATGGATCACAAAGTGCCACACAAACAGCAATCTACACCTCAGAGGTGTGTTTCAGCTAGAAAGATGCTGAAAGGACAACAGATGAGCAACATCTTTTTATGATAATTAGGGTTAATGATTAATAAGTCCCACTAAGAACACCGTGGCAGACCATTATTCTTACAAAGGCACCAGAAGAGTTTAATGCACAGCCAAACTGAGAAACCCCAGCGGCTTTAAACATCTCACTCAACTGACACTGTAAAATGCACACACATCACCACCCACACCTCAAACAAGGTGGTCAATAGGAGGAGTACCTGCATCTTCAGATTACTTCATGTTTATTATCTACTAGATCAGAGATTTAAGATACCTAGCGCACATCAAAGAGTAATAGATATCACTTAATGGTTTTCATACCACTTAATCTCCAGGGTTTGTAAACAGCAGTATAGGCAGATGTGGTTTCTTTCAGAGATACACAGCCAAATGCAGCAACCTCTGACCAGTAAAATTCCCAACTACGCCTAGACCTTTGGCATGGAATGAAAATTGTCACTGATGTGTTGTTTGTCTTTTTAGCAACAATCTACCTGAGTAAACCTGGAAAGATTTAAGCCTAGGCCAGCAAGCCAGATGCAGGGCAAATTTAGCCTCTGGTCCCTGCATCTGTGTGCATACCACTTAAACATAAAGCTTCATCATTTCAGAAAACATGTAAGTGTGTTACCTTTCTGGACATGGATGATGTCTGGAAAGTTGGCCAGATGCCCCTGATACAGCGCTAACAAATCCATCACAGGATCTAGATCCTGCCGGGGCTGATCTGCAAAGAGGTCCCCAATGGCATCGTAGGCTTCTGCAGTGAAGGCTATGGCTTGGTTGAGGCCAGCCGAAAAGGCCTGCTGGTCCAGCTCAAACGCCTGACTGAGGCACTTAAACGAGTGCCCCACCTTCTGGTATTCTTTCTTGAAACCGGTGACTTGTTTGCGGGCAAATTCATTGGCCGTGTGATTAAGCTGCAGGGCGCTCTCATCCATCTTCTTCGTGAAGGCTTTGAAACCATCCACCTGGCTTTCCACCTCCTGCAAGTCCAGGCTGGCCCCAGGGCCGGTGGGGACACTGATGGTCAGGAAGAAGTTGGCACCCACCATCTCATCCTTCTCAGCCTTGCGCTTGCCTTGTTTCCAGGCCTTCTCATCTGTGCTGGGACAGGTGAGGAAGTGCTGGAAAGCGTCGCACTGAGCCAGCACAGGGTGGCTGCACATGTGGTCCATCCACCAGGCCAGGCCTTTGCGACGTTTGGAGATGAAGTCTTCCTCAAAGCGGCCAGTTGCCTGCTTCTCCGGCAAGTGGGGCACGGAGATGACGGGGAACTTCTCAGCCAGGCGCCCGTAGAGCCAGTCAAAGTGCTTGTAGCGGCGGTGTACCTGCTGCCCTGTGTGGCTGGGCACCAGCTTGTAGGCAATGTAGCTCTTCATCCCCTTGAACTTGGTCTGCTTGGTGGGGTCCTCAATGGAGCACTGGAAGGGGTAGGGGGCCCCGAGGGCCCAGCACCACGCATAGCTTGTCCCCATCCTTCACGAAGCCCGATGCCTCGCCCAGCACGAAGGCTTCCCCACCGGACTTGACGAAGGTGGAGAAGCGGTTAAGGTTGCGGCTCACTGTGGCCGAGCTCTTGGCCCCACCGCTGCCGGGTGGGTGTGGGTGGCCTGCCGGGTGGCCACCGCCGCGGGAGCCCAGGGAGAGCTCAGACC